ATGGAAATGGCCTCTTGATCAGAACTTAACATTTCCAAGATTGGAACAGTTCGATTGTTATGAGGTGTGTTAATCACCCCGGCATAATAAAATATTTTCTTGGATACAAAATTTGTTTTTCGTGCAACACAACCTGTGGAATCCAGGTGCAGCGTGGGTAATGTATTCAATGTTGAATTTTATAATATATCCAATTTTGGTTATACTAAAAATGTGGATGTGAAATGGTTGCTCCACTTGTTGTATAAAATCAAAGTGACATCTATGCATCAGAATAAGGTCGACAATATCATATTTGTGACGATCATGTTTGCCAAGTTGTTCTTATCTTATCTTTCTGATGACAGAATCAGATTTTATATCTTGTAAGTTGCCTTCTTTGACGAGATTAGATTTCTTTCAATTAATTTTGTTCTATATCGATAAGGCTTTATATTCTTAAGATTTCTTCGGGCAATTTTTCTTTCTATTCCTTTCAAGTACTTCTTATGGCTGTCAAAATGGTTGTAATCAAGATGAGAACTAAAAACATCTATTCAATCGTCAACGTTTTCTTTAATGTTATTTATTATAATAACGAATTTCTTACATCATGAATGAATGCAGAGTCCATAAATTTTGTATATTACCCTTCGATATCACATATCTATTACTTTTATAATTTATGGTACACATATTATTGACATACTTTGAAACAGTTTTATCAAACAGATAAGTCCACCCCTCAACTAATTCAATTCCATTCATAACTGATGAAAGTTCCTTATGAGTTATTTGGTAATAGCATTCAAAAATCCTAAAGGCTTTATACGACCTGATTTGCCACTCAGTGGATTTCAAGTTTCGGGAATTCAATGGTCGAATGATCATGTTGTCTGTGCTATCATTATTATTAAGGTTTAGCATCGACTCTGGAATTTTCTCGTTTGATGTAGAAGTCGTTAGATTTTGATGGATTCATGTGATTTATTATTACGTCTCAATATAGGTGATATCTCCAAATTATATTCATTAAACAGTAATGATTCGGTTGTGGATGAAAGTAGAGAAGATTTCGCGGGAATTTTAAAGGATTGTTCATCATTTTTAACGTTGAACGTCTCACCTTCACACTTCTCAATGGTTTTGATAACTTCTGAGGGCGATTTAATCAAGATAATATCATTTGAGTCTACACTTTCTTTGATAACTATATCCTGTAGTATTTTGATAAGTGGTTTTGGTTTATGAAGACTTTTCGAAAACCCTCTAGAGTTTCTTCTTATACACATAACATCATCAGATGTGAAGTTAATGTCATCAAACTGTCTTAATGTTTACTGTCAATCCCCATTTGTTTCGTTCTTCGGGTATCCGTGATTAACTTGAGAGATATCATGGTTGTCGACTGATTTATACAGCTTTTTTACATACATTTCAAATAAAAAATGTTCACATTAAATGAAAGTTTTTGAATATGTATATTATCATTAATGATGTTTTACCTTGTTGAAAACAGTGCGAAATTTTTAAGTTAAGCTGAATTTCGTTGCAACAAACCTAAAGTTTTTGATTCCCTAAAAAATTCAAAACCATGTTAATTGCAAAAATATGCTTGAATTTGAGCAAAGGCATGATCAACTGATTTTGCTATGATCTACTTATGAAAGATTTTAGGTTGAATACAACAAAAATTACTATTTGGGAAATAATTAACATAAAAAACTAAAAAGTGTTTTAGGAGGCCATGTTTTGGTATTTATGCATAACTTTCAATCGTAAACGATTTTTCCCGATAACATTTTGCTTAATCTTCTGAAATAAGGGTACTTTACTCTTGAGCAATTTTTATATTTGTTGACCTACTCTGTATGCTGTTTGACTTGCAACCATCCTAAGTGCAACTAAAATGATCACCGAACATGCACCAAACACAGATAGTGGTATTTTGGTTGTGCAATTCATTAAAAAGATTCCCATATGTTGCACACTTGAATGACTTTATATATATATACCTTTATTTCTCTTCTCCAAAAATTTTTCAATACAAATTGTCACTGACAAGCTAGTGAATTTTTCTTTAAGGCTCTCTGTTAGGAAAATTCTTTAAACGCAGTGACATTTTGGGGCAAATCATCTGTTTTGTCCCCACTACACGTATATTGAACTGATATTCATATTTTTATTTTATAGAAACGAGGAGAGAAAATCCTGAAAAATCTGGAATAATAAATGTACCACCTCCTCGATTAACCCGTAACCACTGAGGTGGATAATTTTCCTCCAACTACTGAGGTGGAGCCTCACAGACTCCGTCTATTAGATAGGGCTAATTGAAATTTGAAAATAGAAATGATTGCAATCCAAGTTGTGCACTAGTAAGATTAATGTTTGTAGAAGTAAATTTCACTAATTTCAACAAAAAAAAAATCGTAAAGGTGTATTAACAATATTCAATTGCAAATTATAGTACAAAAAAAACTCATATTAGTTGTCTTATCATTTGTGACCTTAAAATGAAAAAAATGAATTGAGCAATTACGTCAATATGGTGACAAATGTCAAATCAAAGTAAAATGGTATGAAACAGAAGAATATCTTCTGAAAAAAAAAAACGTGCACTTCTTTATTTTCAGGGGGGTTTGATAGAAGACTGTCACAAATTTTATAATTATTCAATATATGAAAATAGGTGGAAAACAACATCCGAATAGCCAAATGGGCATAGAATCGTCAACAGTTCATGCAGAAACTTATGTCCAAAGTAGTCCAAACACGAAATAGTCTCAAGAGAACAGAAAGTTTACTCACAGATGTCCAATAGCACTTGATAGTTTATTACTCGATGGCGAGCAAAACATTCTTTTTATTAACCGCTAAATTTCCATCCTAGGAAACTCGATGATTTCTGTGTATTTTCACTTTATAGCCCAAAAATATACTGAATTTGTAGTTATTTCGGTGGCTTATACTGTGCTACTAATCACAGATTAACAAAAATTAGCTAATTAACTACTTTTCTCGAGCCCTCACTTCTTCCCCCAAGCCCTAGAATCAAGTGAGCTGAGCAGTGAGTTCATCCCCTCTCGCCATCCTTGTCGTCGCTACCTTCTTACATGGAAGGGTGTGTTACAAAGACATATTGGCTTCTGGCAGTGAGTGCATACGTACCTCGTCTTCCTGTGCAATCTAGATGGACATAGGTAGCAGTTCCTCTTATTTTGTAGGCAGGTTCATTGTTCAGTATTCGGCTGATGAGCATTTTCAATTCTTTGTTTATTCTTTAATTTTTCAGCCTGATTTCCATGTAGGGTTTGACGAAGTTACTCATGAAGTTACTTCGTGAAATGTCTTGGTTGTTTTTGTAACAACCGTATAAAATGTAAGCATTTACCGCTGACATGTCCAATATTCAATAGAATATGGCCATGGGCCATCTTTGCGTTCGACGACTTGTTCCATAAATCGCACATTTTTCGTCTAAGGAATCCACTCCACCTTTTGTGGAATTGTAGTAAGATATGATTTCTGGCTTTCCAGTTTTAGGATCATCAGTAACACGACCTTTCCTTTTTTTGGAACGATAATCAGGTAACATCTTTTGTGAAACCGTACATGCTTGTACCTACTTCTCTTTTTTTCCCAAGAACTGCAAAGGTACTTCTCTCTTGTTCTTTTTCAATGTACCAACATAAGTCAGTTTCTGCTTTTTCAATTCGTCAACTACTTGCAATGACGAAAACCAATTGTCAGCTGTAACATTGCGGTTTGACCCACAAATTGGCTGTGTCAAACGCATAACTGCTTGACTGGATATATTCTAGTTCTTTTTCTCTGAATCAGTCAGAAGCATTCCATCACTTCCTTTTCCAGTATAAATATAGGCATTGAAAGCATATCCTGTTCGTGCGTCAGTCAGCATCAATATTTTGAGACCATACTTGACCGGTTTATTGAAACGGCAACGTCCCCTAAAACCTATTAACATCTCGTCTATGCATGCATTTGCACCGATTGAATACATTGATTGTGCGTTTCTTATGAAACTGTTGAAAATCTTACTCACTGGTGCAGTTGGATCAGTTTTCTTTCTTCCATTCCGATCGTCAGGGTTGTCGAATCTGAAATGTATGAGTAGCATGTTGAACCTTTCTTTCCTCATAACTGCTCTAAAAATGTCTTCCACTGTCGTCTGTGGCAAACAGCAGCGAGGAATCTTCATGATTGGACTTGAAGACATCCGTAAAATACAAAAGACCAATGAGCGCCTTCATTTCTGCAATCAGTGTCACGCAATTCACTTCTCTTGTCATCTTCATATTTTGCGGTTCCTTTTCGCATTTTGACATTTGTCCATTGAGCGATGTTCGCAATCATTTGATCATCGAACATTGTGTTCCAGATTTTTTCTGAAGTTGCAGACTCCACCAAGCGAGCAGCACCTTGTTATGTTGGAAGCTTCAAGATATTGTGCTGGGGCATTCTTACATTTCTCGTTGGTGCTGTCAGTGCCCACTTCATCCTATTTTTTCCGTACGCATATCTTTTCACTACGACTTGTTCACTATTGCTAGATTGCCTTTCATTTCTTTGACTTCCTACATGTTCAATATACTCATCGAATGTCCTTCGCTCCCTGCTGATTCCTCTGAATTTGGGTTGTGATCACTGTGTTCAATTTCTTCGGCCAAATCGCTATCAGTTTCACTTAGATTGCTATCAAGTTCATCAAGCCAACCGATCGCAATTTCTGCAAAGTCATTATCAAGAGCATTGATTGTTCGATGAGAAGTTCCAGGCTTGGAATCCATTTCTACTCAGTTTTTATCCTATAAAATGTTCATTATTAGTGAGGTGCGGAAATAGTAAGAAACTTACGTACTTTCTGAGGTGGAGTCTGCGAGACTCCTACTCTACTACTAATAAAAATTCGAGCGATTATGGTATGGGGCTGCCCTCACGTGCACGGCTAGACTAACCTGAGATCGGACAGTATTTGTATAATCCTGTTGATTTTTCAGGTATATTATCGACGGTGTACACGAAACACCAGCCGGACCACAGAGGCATCTGCACGAGCGTCATCCTGCTGAAGACGGCGACCGGCGAGCCGCCTTCGGGCACTCACCCGCCCCCCACCAAGGAGCCCTCGGGCGGCAACGGCAAAAACAAGAACACGCTGTCGTGCCCGAAGTGCGGTGACCCGTGCACGCACGTCGAGACTTTCGTCAGCTCGACGCGGTTCGTCAAGTGCGAGAAGTGCCACCACTTTTTCGTCGTGCTCAGCGAGGTGGATAGTAAAAAGAAGGAGGGGGTCGACGCGAAGACGGGGCAGTACAGGAAGCCGCCGCCGCCTCCCAAGAAGATATACGACTATTTGAATAAGCACGTGGTCGGGCAGGAGTACGCCAAAAAGGTAAACTTATTTCTGGCTTTGGATTTTGACGCCTACGATGATAGCAAATCAAATGAGGCAAGCATTTTTCTTGCTGCACACTGCTGGATGATACCGAAATAGTCAAAATAAGGTTGAAGAATATTTATTTTGCTATATTGCTTGAAATGTTTTTCAAGAAGTGACATGGAATGAATGACACAGATTAAATGACATGGTACAATGTGGACCTTTGCCTCCTGTGTGATTGAAGTTGATGGGTGTTTGGGTTTAGTTTGACAAAGTTTGTCAATGGGCCTGTTTCAGTGAAACATTTTATTTCATTATTTCGAAGTACTAACCCTAACTAGTTCACTGTCGCAAACCGTTTTTCCCCAGAGCTCTGTACATTTTTTAAATAATTATTGAAATACACGATATTTTGTAACATGAAAAACGGGAAAACGCGTGACGTAATCAGCCGGTGAACAATTCAATGGAACCATATAAGATTCGACTTACATATACATTCTCTCTCTCTGAGACAAGTGCAAAAATATTTCTGATTGTCATTTATCAAAATATATGATATGAATATTTTGGTAATGACACTAAATTGGAGAAGAAGATTGCGTCTTACCTAACCTATGGTAGTCGTTTGAAAAAACAAAATGAATGCGAAAATATGTTTTGTACCGATTTGTCATAACAGTAGTGAGAATTCGCCTGAAAAACTTTTTTTGACCGTTTCGGCTAGTACCCAACGTAGTAAAAACTGGCTAGGCAGTGCATTTGAAATTTATTTCAGGACATTACCTCTACTGATGTGAGGATCATTTCAATGTGAGTTCCCATTGTGAAATGTGATATCCTTGTCATTTTCGGATATTTCAGCTTGAAGACGATGCAGTTAATTGGATGTTTTTCGAAATCATTTCAACAACACTCAAGCTGAAACCTCATGTAGTGCCACACAAGTTCTTGAATGAACCGCCACCCACATACAAAAGAAGTGTACTGACTGATGAGGAAAAAAAGGATAGCCGAGTAGCTGGAAAATTGTTCTATATCAGTTCCTGACATCATTGAGGTTGAGGAAGAAATAGTTGAAATACGTCTGAAAACATCTATTGGTATTCAGATTAATATAAAAAAGCCATTCAGAAGTAAAGGTGTAAATACCGAAGATAAAACTTTTCATGATGAAGGTACTTTACCAATGAATCATATCAAGTTGAGGGAGAAGAGAGTGATCAAACCTTGTTGTGTGAAACCTTCATTTTCAAGTTCAGATACAATATCTGAGTCTCTTTTGTCCCCTACAAAGGAATATAAACAGTGCAACTGATCTTGATGAGATTGCTGAGGAGATTGCGACAGACATACAAAAGCCAATCTTTAAAAAACTGAAATTTATGCAATAGAACATGATTATTATTCAAGATTTTTTCTTTGAATCCTAGGACATATATACAGAATAGTACATCTTATTTGTCAAGAGGGAAGCATTTCTTATGAAGAGTGTCTGATTACTTTGATTACCAAAGATTAGCTATTGATTTTGGAGTTAGTGTTAACCGGTGTTAACAATATCCAAAGAATTTCCACCAAAACTGTACCAAAGATGGCAAATGTATTGCAGAATTTTGTAATTTGGGCTGACACAATAGACATTGAAAAAAATATACCAATTACATTTAGAGCTAGGTACTGTAATGTTCAGAGAATAATAGACTGGTTTGAGGTTGAAATAGAGAAGCCATCAGATCCAGTTATACAGGCAAATATGTAGTCGGAATATAAAAGCTGTAATACAGTAAAATTCCTTTCATCTTGTACTGCAAATGGATTCATTAATTTCATATCTAAAGCATATGGAGGAAAGATATCTGATACAGAGATTGTGAAAAAAGCTACCTATTTGAATGAGTTACTTGGCTGAGAGAGGCTTTAAACATATTACCACACTGATTCTAGAAAAAGGTTGTGAGTTAGTTAGGCCACCAAGTGTATCATCACAAATGAAATCTACACCACAAGAAGTAGGAAATAGCAAAATAATAGCATCTTTGAGAATTCATGTTGAAAGGGTTCACCACAGTTTAGTGTCACTATTATCATTTTGTGTAATCATAGTATGTGCTGTTGTTCATATGCAGGAATCTATAATGAATTAAATTTCTGAGATTCAGGCTGTTATACAGGGTGGGTCATTTTTTGTAGCAGAATTTAACTTCAGATTTAACAGCATGAAAAACACATGTCTCAAGATAAAAAGTTCATGTGAACATTATGGAAGCTTTGTTTCCAATATACAGGGACTTGAAGTTTGGGATTTTCTCAATGTTTTTCAAGTTGTCTCCCACAATTTTTGAAATAATGAATTGGAATTTGGTACACCTATTACATACTGTCTGTATGTTTTAAGCAAGATTTATATAAACGACTTACCAAATCACATGAAAACTTTTGATAACGAGTTGCAAATTGAAACAGTAATGTACGCAGACGATACTAGTTTTACTTTCCAACAAAAATATGAGGACTTGGAGGAGAAAGATCCCATAATCAGTCGTATTCTAAATCATGCTTCGAGATGGTTCAGTTCCAATGAACTATACTTGAATGACAAGAAAACTAACACACGTGTTTTTTCACATGTAGGTTCATCAGAAAACGCAGATATAAAATTTCTCGGAATTTTTTTTGACTCTACCCTATCGTGGATCCCTCAAATAAATTTCATGTGCTGAAAATTATCGAAATCTGTATTTGCAATACGCAGAATAACAAATATAGTCAATAAAGAAGCGGGTCTTGCCACTTATTATGGACTTTTCCAGTCAATTTTAAACTATGGAATTCTGGGATGGGGCAATGCCTCCCACAAACATTTACAAAGGATTTTCATTTTGCAAAAATCTGCAGTTCGAAGCATTGTGAAAGCTAAACCTGATGAACACTGTCGACCTATCTTTCAAGAATTAGGAATAATGTCTCTGTTCTCGATGATTGTCTTCGAAAATCTGATGCACATCAAATGCAATATTAACAAATTCTCTTCTCATATGGACGTACACTCCTATGATACAAGAGGTAAAAATAAGCTACTTCATTCTCGCAAGAGGATAAATAAATCAAGAGTTCTAGGCATAGATTTCTTTAATGCAGTACCAGATACCATATCATCCTTACCCATAGGAACATTTAAATCAAAAATAAAACAAATTTTAATTAACATGTGTTTATATAATAGTGAGGATTTCTACACAAGCATTAGTACATTAGGATAAGGTTGACTCACCTTTAGGTTTGTCTAATTCGCTTTGCTCCTTCTGTTCTAAAGTTAATTTTATATAATAATTGCTGTCAGTTTGTTTTAAAGTTAGTTTTATATAATTGCTGTCAGTGCTGTCTACATATACTTTTAACCCGTATTTTCTGTATGTCTTGTTTTATCTACATTTTTTACCCACGTTTTACTTGACGTTTCCAAAAATGTAAATTTCACGGAAGAATAAATCTATCTATCTATCTATCTATATTCTGTATTCCAGATTTTTTGGGAATGAATGCATTTTTCTTTTAAGCTCTCTGATAGGAAAATTTTAAAAAGCAGTGAGATTTTGGGGCAAATCATCTGATTATTATATTATGAACACATTCTATTTGACATATTTCAATAATTTACTACACGACCTGGAATGATCTAGAGCTTTTATAAGATGTGTTAATGAAACACCCTATATAGAAAAAATTAGCATATTTTTATCAGAAGAAACGAATTAAAAAAGAAAAAAAATCGAGATATTTGTTTTTCATTGATTATTGAATGATAAAGATCCATCTCATTATTACAGAATGTGTTCAGATTAATATCTGAATGAAAATTTCTATTACAACATCATAAAACATCATCAAAATCAAATGACGGTTCCGGAGAAAGAAAACTTTGCATTATGGTGCCGATTTCAGTGAACGTTTATTTGCAGGGCGGTAAACACCTTTTGAACAATATTGGAAATATAGCAGATTTCCAGAATATTTCGGCAGCCTCCATTATTTCTGATATTTTTTGTTGATCAAACTTTACTTTAGTGATAGTTACTTCTCCATCCTCTTCAAAATGAGGAGAAGCAACACAAAAATATCCTTTTTGTTTTTTGGAAAACAACATTTGCATTTGTATTTGGTGGTAATACTTATTTTGCACCCTACCATTAGAGATGCATTTTCCTACAGTTTTTTCTCTGAATGGATATTTCACCTCAATAACATGTTCTTTTGTGATTCCATCCGGCGTTGCCCCAAAAATTGGATATTCTGATGACAGTAACAATCCAGATTCTTTTACTACTAGACTTGTTCTCTTCCTAACAATTTCTAATACTGAAGACTCTAACTCGATGCCCCTTTTCACTGCATCAGTTTCTAATGGTTGTGAAGCCCCTTATATCTTTTCTGTCAATGAACCTGCAAAAGTTTTGCAGCGTACTGCCTCATATACATTGGAAGCAGATATTCTTCCGAATCTCTAATCAAACCACTTTTTATATACTGTTTTTTTTGTCCTTTTTCAGCATCTTGGCATGCACTTCTTGTCATAATCGATTCCATAAATGACAGAAATGTATCTTCTGTTTTGGTCGTGGGTCTTTGGAATCTCTTTTAAATAATAGCATGATTTGGTATATAGAAGTTTCGAAAAATTCTGGTTCATTGTATAGGTCAAATAAACCACCAGTTGCATTCGGAAAAGAAGATATTACTTTTTTTTTTAAATTTGGGGTTCTGCAGACCAAGCTCAGGATGCTTAGTTTTTAAAAACACATTAATATCTTCTCCAGAAACAGTGACCTTTGACTAATAGGATTTTTTCCAGTTGCATTTTACTTCGGTTACAGACGGTTTTTCACTTCTACGATGTAACCAAAGCTAAAATGCCACACCATGTTTACATTGACCTGAAACAGAAGCAATAAGTCATTTTGCATGCGTATGGTTTACAATGAATGAAACTCATTAGTAATTATTACTAAGTA